ATGTAATGTAATGTAATGTATGTATACATGCTTACTCTGCAATATACCGCAAAGCCCTTTGCAATATACCGGAAAGCCCTGTTCTACTGGTCAAGGCCCCTACGCTAAAAGCCCTAAACCCTCATACCCGGGCTCTATTCCCGCTTCCTTACGAAGAACCGTAAACCCGAAACCCCACACCTTTAAACCCGAAACCTCTAAACCCTACATCCCTAAACACTAAGCCCCTAGACCCCCAGACCCGAAACCCCTAAACCCCTAAACCCAAAGCTTCGAGAACCTTCGCGCCCACTACCTTTTGCTCACACTTAAAAGATCATGGGTCTCAATAACTGTAAGGCTTCCTTAAAGGGTTCTATGAGGATTCTGTAAGGGTTCTAGATATGGGGAGTTTAGGGTCTGCATACAAGATCATGGGACTAAGTCTCTGGGACTATTATTTGGCTAACCAGATCTAAACTTACCCTAAACCCTAAACCCTAATACTATTGTAAGCCCTAAATCCTAAACCCTATTACTATTATAAGCCCTAAACCCTAAACCCTATTACTATTATAAGCCCTAAACCCCAAACCGACTGATGACCTGACTTGCTAAGTCCCATGCCCCTCCAAAGTACCTTTTGCTCGCATGGGTAGTTCTCTAAATTAGGGTCCCCTTTGGGGGGGTGCTTCTTATAAGGGTTAGGTTTTAGGGTGCAGGTTTTAGGGTTTAGGGTTTAGGGTTCAGGGGCCGTAGTCTATTGCGGATCTAACCAGGGACCCTAATTTAGAGAGCTACCCAAATAGAACTCTTATAGTACGCCTTGTGGAAACCTATAGAAAGCCTCGTAGATCCCTTTCTCCAGAGAAAGGGGCCCTGAAATTAAGAGAATTACCCACATCCAGGCGGATCACAGCATTCTGGAGATGTGGATTAGGCCTGGCCAGCTAAAGCATCAGTCAACCCAAGGATGGAAGGTCTGCAGTATGGGGCTTATAGGGTTTAGGGTTGTGAGGGTTATAGCGTGTAGGGTTTATGTGGGGTTCATCTGTTTGTTTTCTTTTGGCTGGATGTAGACCTTGTGATCTTCGTTTTGGGGCTCGTCCTGATTAGGGTTTTTGTTTTTTGGGTTTAGGGTTTTGGGGGTGTTTGGGGTTTTAGGTTTAGGGCTTAAGGACTAAAGTTTTAGGGTTTGGTGTTTTGGGGCTTTCAGGATTTAGTGTTGAACGGCTTTCTGTAGGTGTTGGGGGGCTGATAGGGATTGTGCTGAGTCGCCTGCACAAACCTCCGTTTAAGATTCACCACCCCAGTCCCTCCTGCAGCCTACTGTAGAAACCTAAATGCTTAAACAATATGATTCCTTAGGGTCCTCTTATTACAAGTATACCATAAAGGAGCCCGAACCCCTATTCTAATTATTAGGTCCCCTACATTACAACTCCGCGTCTAAGTGGGGACTGTGCTTTGGACCCATGCAGAATGCACTTCCTTGTAGGGATGGCTGTTGTGAGGTTGGTTAATATAGAAAGCCTAAATAATTACTGGCACCTTTTTAGGGGGTTCCTTCATTGCTTGGCAGCGCTCGCCGGAGGCGGTGGCGCATTACTAGACTCAACCCTAAACCCTAAACCCTAAACCCTAAATTACTAGACGGTCATGTTACCTTGGCCTTGCGTTGCCGGGACGAAGAAGGAATCAGGATCTTCCGTCGGCTGTCCACGGTTTAGGGTTTAGGGTTTAGGGTTTAGGGTTTAGGGTTTAGGGTTTAGGGTTTAGGAATATCGGTCCACTACTTGATCACGAGAGTCCACTCTCGGGAGTCCACAGTGCGGCGAATGCTCCAGACAGGAGAGGACTGCCAGCGCACTCGCTTGGAGGCTGGCAACCAGCCACTTGACTAGGGTTTAGGGTTTAGGGTTTAGGGTTTAGGGTTTAGGGTTTAGGGTTTAGGATATATATATATATACATTTCCAAAGTTTGCCGACATTATTGTTGTTTCACGATGAGGCTCCTTTTTGTCCTTGGCCAAGATTTGCTGAACTTGAAGCTTCACTTGGCGGCGAGCAACCAACCCTCGTTGTACAAAGCGATGTGGGTAGTTTTCTAAGTTAGGGTCCCGTTTAGGTTCCTTTTTACAAGAGTGCCGTGCTATTTGGGGGACCTAAAAGGGGACCCTAATTTAGAGAACTACCCATGTTCAACCTTCTGCAGGGTTGGCATAAACCCTAAACCCTATAAACCCTAAACCCTAAACCCTAAACCCTATAAACCCTAAACCCTAAACCCTAAACCCTAAACCCTCAGTATATATGTACTCTGGCGTTGACGTAGCCCCCTGTTTGGGGGACCTTTGGGGCCACTGTATATATATATATATATATTTAGGGTTTAGGGTTTAGGGTTTAGGGTTTAGGGTTTAGGGTTTAGGGTTTAGGATATATATATATATATTATCCCTAACCCTCAAAGGACTCATATGTTTTGAGGCTTTTGGGCCCAAAGACCCTATGATAAAAGGTGTTTGGGCGATTGTTCTTTGAGCACATGGACCTTTAGGGAAAGGTTAGTGCACGTCAAAACTTGGTTGAACTTTACAGTCACTTTATAGCTTTATCACTTTTAGGAGTAGTCTTTTTTGATATAAGGGGTACTAAAAGTTATAATTTTAGCAAGGTAATAAAGAGCCTTAAAGAAAACACTACAGGTCCCGCACCCGAATCTCCTAACTCCGTTTCACGGGCTTCGATCATGCATACCCTGAGCACTTTATTCCACACCACACCCCAGACACCAACCCCTGAAACTTGAAACCAGAAGCCACCCTAAACCCTAGACCCTAAACCCTATAGACCCTAAACCCTAAACCCTAAACCCTACAGACCCTAAACCCTACAGACCCTAAACCCTATAGACCCTAAACCCTAGACCCTGAACCCTAAACCCCATAGACCCTAAACCCTAGACCCTGAACCCTAGACCCTACACCCACTTCACAGCCTCACATCCTTCTGCTGCAGGCGCCGATCACTCCCCCCGTTGCAGGAGTACGACTGGCAGATGAGGGTTACCCGGCAGCTCCAGCTAATATAGGGTTTTGGGTTTAGGGGTTTTGAATTTTGGATTTAGGGTTTTGGTGTTTTGGGGTTTAGGGTTTTCGGTTTTAGGGTTTTGGGTTTTGGATTTAGGGTTTAAGGTGTAGGGTTTAGGGTTTAGGGGTCTTACTAATTGAAATAGGGTTCCTTCTGGGGTTTATGGTTTAGGGTTTAGGGGTTTAGGGTTTAGCGTGATCTGTCAGCTCAAGTGAACTCCGAGAAAGCAACACCCCAGGACCAACGAATAGTTACTAAAATCGATTTGGCAACTCACTATGATTTCAGAGATATTCTGGTTCTTCACTTGTGTAGACCACGCTGTGAAGGAACGGGGCATCCATCAGGGCATATGCTGGTAAGAGGGAGCAGAATAGTAAACATATCAGGCCGAAGAAGGGTAAGAAACTTCACCTCAAGCCTTTGGGTTTAGGGTTTAGGGTTTAGGGTTTAGGGTTTAGGGTTTAGGGTTTAGGGTTTAGGGTGGAGGGACGCCGAGTCCCAAACCCGAAACCCAAAAGACAAGAAGTCTGGAAGAACAAGGCTTCAATTCGCTGGCCGAAGGTTTCGTGTATTCACATGGGTCGTTCTCTAAATTGGGGTCCCTTTTCGGGTCCTTTTTGTAAGGGTGCCGTACTATATTGGGGACCTAAAAGGGGCCCTAATTCAGAGAACTACGTACCCATATACTATGAAGGTACATTGATCGCTGGAGCTACCCGGAAAATAGAAAGTCACCATGGATTGCAGTTTCTGTATGTGCAGAGTATAGAGCTCACCGGAATCAGAGTCTAAAGTGACATTGTGCAAGCCCTTTTTGTAGGGCCCCAAAAAAGCACATAAGCAAAAACGAGGATAGGGATATCCCATATAAATCCCCTTATAATGAAGCCCAATAAGGTAGGGATATCCCTATGAAATGCTTATGCTTACGTCCTTTTTGGGTCCCTAATTTGGGCGTCACGCGGACCCTTCGAGTGATTCCCGAAACTGGGTTCTTGTGAAGAAATTTCATTTAAGCTGCCACAATGGGGATCTATTGTCAGAAGTAAGGTTTCTTCATGATGGTAACTTAACTTAGATCCCTAAACCCTAAACC